TATAATAGCAAATATATATCTATACATTATCGGCTCTTTGCTTTTCACTTATTATATTTATTTTATTCTTATAGAGTCTTATAACTATTTTATATTATGTTTTAAATAACGAGCAAGCTATTATTGCTTATATTTGTAATAAAAGTTTATGATCTATACAATCTAAAGCCACGAAAATATTTCCAAAATATTTAAAATAAATCTTATAAATATTTACAAATATTTTGTAAATATTGTGTGCTGTTTGGGGTTACTAAAGAACCACCTTAATTGGCTTTAAAATTTTTTTTATATCAAATGAACTGTTTTATTATGTTAATTACTTCCGCACGTTTTCTTTGTATCAGAAACCGTTCTATATATCTTAGAGCTTATATTGATCCAATTTGCTTCTATGTGCCTTTTGTTACATACTTCTTTTTCCTTTGTCATTGCTTGTAGATCCGTTGCAAGCTCAACAGCAGTTTCAACATTCTATATAAATAAAAAGAAAATTTCATTATTTATATACAAAAATGAGATTCTTAAAGAGAAAAACAAAAATTACATACTTTCTTCCCTATTTCTCTTTCTTTGTGAACTGTCTTAAATCTGTCAATGAGAGACAAATATTGTTCGTATAAAAGGGATGTTTCTGAATCTCCTAGATACTCGGACGGAATTTCAACCTAATAAAGATAGTATTCTTCTTCAGGATAATTTATGTTAATTTGTTAACTCTTTTTCTAGTAATTATGTGGTAACATGTATACAGCACACGAACATCCGAAAAACATCCATAAGATATCCATCAAATTTTTGTTTTATATAGTCTTTCAAGTATTCAATAGATAATTTAATCCTTGACATACTCAATGGATATCTGATGGACATAAATAATAATGGATATATAAGTGGACTTCATATGGACTTTATATGAACGTAAAATGTTTTAAAAGAGTATGCAATTGTAATTTACATTAAGTAACAATGGAGAGATTAGTTATTGTATAAATATTTATTAATACAATAACTAATGTAAATATATTTATTATAATTAAAATGTTGTATAATTATTATTATTATATAATAATCTAATTATTTAGTAATTATATACAATGAATATTGATATATCTTGGCACATGTAACTCCAAAGAATATCAAATATACGTATATAATAATTTTTACACAAAAGATCGAAATCCCATATAACACAGAAGCAGCAAAATTATGTATTGTAATATAATATTGCAGGGACATTACAAAGACCTTTTTGCAATATTACTGCAGGAATATTTTTTTAATACTGAATCTGTATTGATTTTTTTATATTAATTGTTAATATGCTATAATGTTGATACAATATTAAACAAATCATTATCTTTTAAAATATATACATCTCAGATATTGAAAATTAAGAAATACATAGATATTAAAAATATGTAAATAACAAGGCTCAATAAATTTAAAAAATAATTAATATAAAACAGGGCTACGAGCCAACATTAGTTAAAATATAAAGGTCTTAGTAATAAACTGTCATTAATTAAAAATAAATAAATATAAAGTTTAATAAAATTCAAAAACAGACGTTTCGACCTTAATTAGGTCATTTTCAATGTTAACGACACAATTTCACGTTAACATTGAAAATGACCTAATTAAGGTCGAAACGTCTGTTTTTGAATTTTATTAAACTTTATATTTATTTATTTTTAATTAATGACAGTTTATTACTAAGATCTTTATATTTTAACTAATGTTGGCTCGTAGCCCTGTTTTATATTAAATATAGATATTATTTATTAAATAAAAAAAGTTTTTAAACATGAAAGATATATACTCATCCACAAGAAAAACCGGCTACTCGCTGAAATTGGATTTAAACTTCGCTGAAAGTGAATTTTTCAGCAAAAATATTAAAAAAATCTTATAAAATTTATGAGCATTCCAAGTTAAAATGAATATAAAATAGATGTCCACAGAATATCGTTTGCTGTCCAGGAACATTATGTTATGAAGAAACTTCGATATCTTACCTTGACAAGAAATTGTGACAAATATGCTCTTTTCTGAACTACATCAATATGCATCAAAAGCCATTTTAATATCGGATGAATAATTTCGACGTCACCTCTAACTAAACCTTGTCTAAATAAAAAACGTTAGAGTAATTATACCGAAGAAGAGAATCCATTCCGATAACTTTGACCTTGACGTATATTGTCATGACCCTGAATGACCTCTAACAGGTTTTAGTAATTGTTCGTTCCTTAAAAAATTATCAACAATCTTATAATATTCATACACATAATAGGTGCATCCAGAAGCACGACCGCTCATTGAGCGCTCAGTAAGCTCTTGTACCTGTTTGGTTTATATATTTAGATCTAATAGAATATGTCAATCAGATAAAAAAGCTCATTGAGCGCTTAGTGAGCGGTCGTGCTTCTGGATGCACCTAATATATAATAATGAATATCAAACGATATCTTGACAATATATGCCAAGGTCAAGGTTATCCGACTGGTATTCTCTTTAGTAAACTTTTAACCATTTGTATATATACTTTACATTACTCTTTAAAAGATCTAATAGAACAGATAAAATATTAACGTATTTCGTTTAAAGTATTTAGAGAACCTAATTGTTACCTAAATGTTATGGGATCCACATCAGGTTGATAATTAAGTATTCGAAGAGCTGTTAAAATGTATACAGAATTTTCTTCTGGCGAATTCAATTTAATATCGCTATCTGGATCATCTTGTTGTTGTATTTTCATCAGAACACTGCATAATATCTACGAGAAAAGGTACAGAATTTTTCGAAAATGTTGCAATAATAAAATAGCAGAGAAATACCTGTAATAAGTCTTCAGTGTTTAAGGTATTGAATCCGATTATACTGTAATTTCGTCCTAATAATTTATTTATTTCTGTCACAATAAATTTCACATTTTCACTCATAATGAAGTTTTCTATAACAAATTCGCACTTGGTTTTCTCAAAGTGAAAAATGTGTTTCAAATTTTCCAAATATTCGTGTAGCACTAAGATGTGCTACAAGCGTAATGTCGAAACTAACGGACATTATGGCTTCGGTTGCCTCGACAACAAAGCATCAACAGTACTGATATATTCAATTAGCACATATATTCGATACCTCTTGTAATATCAATTGCATAAGGAATAAAGGATACATCTTGCACTTCTATATATACAATAATAAAACATAATTATATAACAAAATACTTTTATTAACGTTGTTGTATCAATAGTTATAGAGCGCAAATATATCATTGTTTAATTAAAAATAATAATATATCTTGCTATATAATATGAATTATATGCAAGGTGTCCATAAAACTTCGTAAAAAATTAATATAAGTGCAAGCCACTTTCTTCTAGTAGTTTTTTTTAAATATAAATGTTTAAAGTTTGATTAATTATAAGCGTTGGTTAAAAAATTATCTGTCCATGTGATAGGGTACATACAGCGTAATTTTGTTTAGTATCTAATACCATTGAACGGACAAATGACTTTATAACCAACACCTATGATTAATCATATACTTTAAACGTTTATACGTAAAAAAAACTATTTTATGGGGAAAAATGGCTTCTACTTTTATTAATTAATTTTTACAAAATTTTACGCTGAAAATATTATCTTCAAATTTCGAGACACTATGTATACAGCTAACAGATTTATATAAGAATAAATACAATAATAATTACATTATAGTACCGTGTTACAAAGTATTCTTATACTCAAAACACTTGCTATATAAAACATTGTTAGTACAGAAATATATCAATGAAAAAAATATTTACAAATACACACATTTGCATTGTGTAGCGATTCTTCTGCAATCTAATTATTGATAATTATTAGCACTTGCCAGTCAAAATCTCAACGTTTGTAAAGAATTTGTATGAAAATATCGCAGGTTATTTCTACATATAAAATGACTATACTTCGTAAAACAATCAAGAAAGGATAGATATTTATTTATATTAACAAAGATTATAATAAATACCTGCACAAGTCTTTGGCAATAAACAACATTCTATGTATTATTCGTATAGCAGTCTGATTATAATAGTGAATAAATATCTATTTATTATAAATTTTCTAAAATATACAGTATGTCCCAAACTTTTGGACATCGCTTATGAGTAGGTAAATTAAACTAAAACTGAGTTGACAAATCCGGTATTAATTTACAATTTTCGCAACAGTTAACGAGATATTAATTTCTAAAGATTGCCAAATAAGCGCATAGACTTCACTAAAAAACAAGATTATATTGTTTAAAAATAATAATCATAATGATCACAAAAAGTAAGAAATTAACGGCCATTCCGGAAAAATATTTACATACATAAACTTGTGCATATAAATTTAATCTCGAAAAGTAAATATAATGCCATCTTATTTTTATTTTGTAGAGATATGCTCTTATATGACTTACTGTTGTGTATGTACTTCTCTCTTTCTCTTTCTCTCTCTCTCTCATACTATTTCATCAAGATATACACGTAGTTTTAATATTTTAGCTGAATTATGCAAATATTTGTGATTTTGAGTAGATCTTAGTGAGGTACCTCAAAAATTTTCAGCACTTTACTAAAAAAAAAAAAATCACTTTAAAGTTGCTTTATGTATATTGATTTTAGACATTTTGCTTAGAAAACTGAAAAAATTGCAGAAATTGTAAAATGATAGAGGATTTTTCGACTCAGTTTAGTTCGCTTTATCTGCCTGCAAGCGATGTATGAAAAAATTTTAGATATCTTGTATAAATATGCATCACTATAAACAGGTGTGCAACAAATTTATATATATATGTATATTATAAATTACTAATTCATAATATTAATTTTTTTGTAAAAAAATTAACAGTTTTTTTTACATATAAATTTGAAACTCGAAGTTAAGATTCCTAAGTTGTCGCCGTGACTAAACGGCATCGTAACATAAGCAAAAAGCGTTAATTTTTATTACATGCTATTTGTAAATAAAGACCATTTGTATAAAACAAAATGATGAGATTGCTTTAAAACATTTTTTTTAAATGAGTCGAAACTATTCTTATCTCCTCTGATAGTTAGTAAACAGTCATAAAAGGTGGTAGAAGGTACATGAAATGTGTTTACTCAACGTCTATTTTCACATGTCTGTTATTGATTCGAGGGGGGATAGCTTTGATCCATTGTTACAAATATTTTGAAACGATCTCGTCATTTAGATTTATCCAAATTGTTTTCATTTACAAATAGCACATAACCATTGTTCGTTTTGTCTCTCGGGAGGTGCTCGGAGTCGCTCTGAACGAACCCAGCGTACTTGATAGTGTTCTTTTAGGCGAATGTCATATAGAAGGCAATCGGGGATCTTCAAGATAAATATTTAATTCTGTTTTATTACTTATCGTCAGAGCAGTTGAGAGCCTATTCAGGTTCAATCAGAGTTTCCCTATAATGCTTCCTTGAGAAACGTCAGAAACAACAGATTAAGGCAGATTACAATCAACAGTTTGGCCTTAGCACCTCAAAAATCAAGAAACAACGGATGAAAATGCAAGGAAGTGAAATAATACAAAATAGGTGAAGAGACTGACTTGAATGACGCTTGAGGTTTCGTATTATTTAGTTGTTAATCTAATTTGGTATAACCTAAAAATAGAATCGAAAAACATTTCTTGGCCGACAGACATTTTAGATGAATTAGACGATGATGATGAGGACGAAGTGATGATCAATTTATACATATATCAAACATATACTAAAAATCGAAATGAAATGGAATTGAGAAATATCAACAGTATGCACAGGTTACGTTCGGTCAGATTTATACTATCGTGTTCTTTTTACAGCAGTCTGAGTGGTCCTGAGTTCAATTCAGAGTCGTACAGACAATAAATATAGTTAACTTCCTGTTTTACGATCCACTTTCGGAGTTCCATTATCTTAACCTAAAAATACCCAGGTCTGATTGGGTCTGCTCCGAGATAGACCCAGAACAGACAAAACAAACAATATTATAAATTAACATGTCATTTCCATGGTCGAAGTACTTCGACCATGGTCATTTCTCGCTCCTAGCGTCATGATTCCAACATGGCCACGGCGACTACTCAGAGGCAACTTAAACAAAAAATATATTTCTGCAACTAATAAAACTTGAAATATATACACATACACACACAATGCAATATTATAATTAACATAATATGAATATAATATTAATAATATCTACTATTAATTGTCAATATTACCGCAACTTTTCCATCTATAAAGAAGATATTCTTGTTATACTCATGATACATATATTTGCATTACACTATCGTTTATTATATATAATATTATTTCAGAAGCAAAAAATGTAAAGTAAAATTTTTTTCGAAACAATAATGTTATTATTGTATATCGCTATTACTATTTCTTTTCGATTATTAATTCATATTTATAATATGTTTTTATGTACGTTAAATATTTTGCAATAAAATTAAAAATATTTTATTCACAGTTTTAATATAATCAAATTGGTAAATATAATATCCTAAAATATAAAACAAAGTATACAATAAAAAAAATAACATACAGATCATATAATCACTGCACCATGATGTTCAACACAATTGCACATCTTCCCAGTTCTATGAAAGTTATTTAATGTTATCCTGAAGATCCATGAGCGATTGAAATACTGTATATCCCTTTTAATCCTCAAGCACATAAAATATCAATTCAAGCACTGTATGTGCATCCTGACTGCTTTGCACAGCTTTATGTAAAACTTGAATTAATTCATTGTCTAAACTTTTCATATATATTGGCGGTAATTTTGTACCTTCACTTCCAGCTTCATATCCCACCTACATATACATATATACATTTAACATAAAATACAATCTTAAACAAAGTGAATTATATGAACTAGAGCCATATTTACGTTATCTGGATGAATTGTTGTCCGTACACCGAGCTTTGTTAAACCTGCTGTTGCCAGAAGGTCCAGTAATTTGACTAATGCTGCACATGTTGCTTTTGCTATACTGCCAGATAGTTTATTTATATCTACAGGATCGTTCACGCCACTCAAATGATCATCTGACTTTTAAAATAATATTATTTTACTAATATAGTTTATATATATATATTTTACTAATATAAATATATATTACATATATATATATTTATTCAAAATACTTTTCTGTAACAGATACATACTTTTAAAATAAATACTTCTGTCCAGCGTATAAATCGGGTTGCACCTTTGTAATCAATTCCATTATGTACTCTAATAGATGGTATACCATCCATTAATTGTCCATCAATAGGACTTTTAACACTGATAATAAAAAAAAACTGTATATTTAATGTGTTTAATAATGAAGCAAGAGTATGAAAGAGAGTTCTAATATACAATATTACATAAATATATTAATATATTGCATGTTGAAAGATTTATACTCGTCCACGTGTAAATGCGTGCGTGTGAGGAAGAGAGAAAAGAAATGGAAACAAAAGGAGATAAATAAGGAGAAAAGAAGAGTGAAGAGAGAGGGAGTGGGGAGAGAAGTGAGAAAGGAAAGATCGAAAAGCAAGAAAGAGGGGAGAAAAATAAGCATCGACAAAATTTGTGCAGATATCTTAATCTAATAAGTATGATAACAATGATTAAAATTTATCGAAAAAATTTACCCCAGATTAAACAGCGTATCATTATCGACCCATTTTATGTTTACAATCTCGTCTGGTTCCAATGCTCCCTGGCGTCCACAACCAATTGAAAAATCTTGCATATTTTTTAGAGCAGCTTTCAAAGCTTCCATTTTCTCTGGCATTATTTCTACCATTAATCCATCCTCAACAATACTGGATTTGGCAGAGAGACCCATAGAAGATTTTAGAGCACCATTGATGACGATGAAACTGGCACCAGTAACTATATGATAGAAAAATGATAAACTTTACATATTATTATATCAGTCGCTTATAAACCTCTCCTACCTGTTCTTGGTTTGTTGTGAATGTTTATTGCTTGCGTTTGATAACTGCTCTCATCACCAGTATTTGTTTGTATGCAAACTAAATGTGAATCAGCAGTTATACTAAAATTTGAAGCGTAAGCTAAGACATGATCGTTCGAATTATGAAGTCCTTTTATGACTTGGTCGTATCGATTTCTGGGAAACATAACGTCTGTTGTACGATTTTTAAGATGAATTGTTAAGCCTCTCACTCCTGGCAAAGTATATCCGAAATTTCTAAAATCTGCTAATACTTTCATAACAGTGTGTCCAATTTCGAAATATAACGCATTTCGAAAACGAACAGACACCAATGGGCAAGGATAATAACGATATTCTGCTCCAAGACGTAAAAGTAACCTTAATGGAAATATTTTAGCCCATGGAGTTTCCCATCTAAAATGAATAGATAGAAGTGAAATTTTACAATCATCAAATAAATGGCAGACAAAATAAATTGCAAAATGTTTGAATAAATATAATCTTTTCAACATATACATACTGTTAATTGCACTTCATTAACCATGCATGATTCACATCTGTTCCCTTTAAGCCTGTATCACAGTACGCATAGTAGCATGGTACAATGCGTAGTGTGATACAAACTTTAATTTTTTCTTGTTATCAGAAAAATATTCAGAATGTATACATAATAGATACACACATACAGTATAGAACCACACATTTAGATAAAATATAAATCCCAATACATAATTGTGTTATATTTCGAAACTGTTATATTTACCTGTGAACCAACAGACCAATCAAGAAAGGTGCAGGTGGCAAAATAATCTTTTGTAAGCATTGCAATGTTTGACGAATAAAAAGAAATCCCGCATGCTCGCGTGAACCTAATAATAGGTTTGTTCCTTGATATACTGAAAAGCCGAGTTCCGTCACTGTATTACCTAGAAAAGCAAATTCGAAATAATTAGTTTGCACAATACAAGTACGAATATTACTGTTATTAAGATATCAACTATAGGTGCGTTCGATACTAAAGGGAAACACTGTTAGTGTTGAGTGCCTTCTAACAAGTGACACAGATGACACGATGTGACACAGTGCAGTATCAGTACATTCTTGTTATTCGCCAATGTTAAACAAGGATAAGATGATCACTGTGTTGTACTGTCGCTTGTTGGAAGGCACACGCTATTTGTGTGCATTCTATTCTTGTTTCATGTCTGATAAACGATGAAGATAGAATGACTCAAATAGCGCTAACAGCGTCTCCTCAAAGCCTACTGCGTACCTCGCAGATATCAATTGACATATATATAGGCATACGAAATATTACCTTTAATAGCTTCAAGATATAATTGATTAATGTATATGAGAAGATCTTTTGGAATCCGTGTTTCATCTGGCAAAACTTCAACTAATAAAATAATTTCATCCTGACCAATGCAAGCAAGACCTCTTGATGTCACATTCCAGCAGATCTTGTTTACGCAGCAATTTACTACAGATTATATAAATAAGATTCTTACACAAAAATACGTATACTGGCAACACAATTTCTTTATACTTACAATTGGTTATTTTTACATATGCATAAAGATTACGATTAATTGCGAACATTACTGACGGTTCACATTCGTTTTTCAGCGTTTTATAAAGCACACTTTCGTCCATAGGTGGATGGTACGTAATTTCTGTTTATAATAAAGAAAAAGAAAATAAAGTGACACATAGGTGACACGAGTTACTATAATTGCAAAATTTTTATATAATATGACATCCTTACGGCCTTTGTGTATCGTGACAGTCGGAGGCAATAAATTAGGATCATGTGGTATATAACTATTGGTCGTACTGTCTAAAGGAGGATGATTTTGCCTTCTCGTTGCAGTGTCAGTCAACACAGACCCCGATGCATAAATCCGTTTATTTCCCTGCTTACGGTACGGTGGTTTTGGGTCCCAACACGTGTCTAACTCTGTCAGGTCACAGCCAGGCCTTATTCCTGTTTTAGTTATAGGTGCGTAAAAATAAAACAAACAGGAGAGGCTAGGGAAGGGAATGTTGACAAACATACTGGCATGTTTCAGAGAGGAAAAATAAACAACTAATAATTTTGTACTAAATGTATTGGATTAATAATTTTATATAGGATTTATATTGGATAAAGGAATAACAAAAATAAAAAATAAAACGAAAAATATAATGCAGAAAAAATGTGTATATGATTTTGAAAATAACTGTACCTTTAAGAAGTAAATAATAACCAATATATGCGTACAACTCGCGCGTAATAAAAAAAATTTGACATTTTTTTATTATTGTATGGAACATTTTGACAGAAATGACAGAATATCAAACTTATCTATTCTGTAGAATAATTGTGCATAATAAATTGTATTATACTCGACCTGTTATACGTACGTATTGTAAATTCATGTGTGAGCCATTAGAATTTATATGTATAACAGTTGTAATCAATACGAAATATGTAAAAATCTGCACGTTATACAATGTAACATAGACACACACATACACGAAAGTATTCAAACGCTCACATTTTTAACATTCAATGACATGAAATATTAAATTGAAATCTTTTAAAACAATATGATATACACAAAAAAGGACAAGTCTTATGATTTTACAAATAAAATTAGAAAATAATTTAACGATATGTTCAGTTTTTATAATATATTTATTATAAACACGCATCATAGGTGACTCAAAAGTATATTCGAACGGTACAATTAATAATTATTTAAATTAGATAATCCACACACAAAGTCTTAATAATTAGTTGATCCGTCTTTTACTTTTATTAGCTCTAAGACAATTTTCCATTAACTAAACTTCAAAATTACATTTGTGTATATTGATTATCATATATCAATAATATTCCGTTTTAACGCTTCTTTTTCTCGAAGTAATAACTGTATTTCTTAAGCATCTTTCTACTCATTCCACAAGTGCTCAATAAAATTTAAATCAAGATTTTGGTGGACGTGGCAATATGTGTGATGTTATACAGTACCCATTCTTTGACAATTTTCGTTGAATGCTTCGGATCATTGTCTGATTGGAAACAATAAATACTTGATAGATTCAATTTTGACACACTGTCTTTTAAATAGTCTTGTAAAATTGTTAAATACTTCAGTTTGTCTAAGATTCCATCGATGAACACAAGATTCCCCATTTCATTAGCTGTCATACAACCCCATTACAAATTCATTATGTTGGCTATAAATTTCTCGATTCTAATTGCGTATTTTGTTTTCTCCAAAATATTGTATTTACTTTCGTCTGAAAATAATATGTATCCCAAAATGAATTGTTTTTGTTAATAAATCTTTAGCAAATTTTAAACGTAGAATTTTTTTTATTTTTCTTGTCAATATATAGTTTTCTTTTTGAAATTCGTGCACGTGAACTTTGCAATAATCGTCAATATAATTCTAGATGCATCATACTTCTTTGTGATTTAGAAGTAAAAGAATCTTGTTTGATTTTCTGTATAATCGTTTTTTCTTTTTTCACAATCAACTTCTTGGTCGCACACAATGATGCTTATTTGTAATAACTGCCTTGCATATTAATTTTTTAAATAATATAATAAACAGTGAACTTATTCCTTTATACAAGTCTTGCAATTTTATTGTATGATTTGTTTTCTTATAATTCTCACAATTTCTTATAATTCTTATAAATTCTTTACTAATAATTCTTTTTAGTAAAAAGATAGGATACTAATAATTCTTTTATTGATTTGCTTGTTTTAATTTCTTTCCGATTTCGTTGTATTAATAATAAAAATTGCAAAAAAATCTTGAGCAGTGCTTCCCTCGAACTAGCTAGTGAACTAAGCAATATTTATTTACATTCTGCGGAAACTTCAGAAAACTTGTCTGTTATGAACGTTCCGCAGTTTTTTTGTAAGCCATGTATGGTGCGTGTTTAAAATAAATGTATTAGAAATAAGCATCGTTAAATTATTTTCTAATTTCACTTATGTTATCTTAAAACTTACTTTTCATTATAAATATATTATTTTAAATGCTTTAATTTGATGTACATATTTTATTCTTTAAATATTAAAAATACTTTCGTGTGTGTGCATATGTGAATATTTCTCAGGTAATAAAATATTGATAGTTAGTTAACAAATTGTACCACAATTTAGCGCAAAATTGGTGACATACTTGTCGACAAAATCGAATAGCAGACTGTTGTCAGAAACTAGGTAGATTCGCTTAAGGAAATAATTTTAAAGTTTTATTAAAAGATATTAATATATAAGGTGTCCTAAATTTACAAAATCACCTCTCGTGAGTATGTAAAGCAGATTAAACTGAGTTAAAAACTTATCTACCATTTTGCAATTTATGTAAAATATTCTATATAGAGCCCAAAAAATTTTAAATACCAGAAATATATATAGACGCCATTAGATTAGTCACTAAATATTTGCAGGACTGCCGTTAGGTGGTCCTACAAGTATATAGTGACAAACACAGATTCTGCTTGATTTCTATCAATAATCTACATATAATAATTGCATTTGGCATATCTAATCAATTTTTGTCAACAATTTGTTATCAGAATATACTACAAATGTTTCTTTTATCAGTAGTTTGTCGTTCAATTTTGTTTGCAAATTCTGTTCCATTTCTTTCTGCCAGTTGGTCAACAGCGTTGTATGTCTAATCAATAGATTAATTCTATTACCATTCTACTAACATAGTTTACAACAAGTACTTCAAATAAATAGTTCTATTTTTGACAGACTTGACTCTATCTGGATTTATTATAAAATAGATAACTATTTTAAAAATATTTAGAATTAATAAGAGAAGAAGAGAAAGAGAAAAAAGAAAACATTAAGAACATCAATAATATTAATATAATTGTAAATAATGATTACCTACCATCACTGAACATTACAGATTTTTGTCCTTCTGCACGATGTTTTGAACCCTCTCTCTTTAGAACACCCACAGGTACCATCACCGTTGGTGGTGGCGGCAAACCGCCAGCTAACTGTTGCAAGGGTGGTATAGTTGAACAGTACTCCATGGGATTATTTGGATTAGGCTGTCTCCCCTATAACCATTTGTTGAATACTTCTAATATCAACATTTGTTCAATTCTTCAGCAAACACATTTAGACAGACATATAAAAATAAATATAATTCTTTTCTATATAATTAATATATCTTTACAATAATGTTGGTAAGAGAAATCATTGTGGCTCTTCATAGATAGAACGATAGAAAAAAATTAAAAAAATAGATTAAAAAAAATTTTTAATACTATATTTTGATATGAAGATTATTTTTAATATTTTAAAATAATTATAAATATAAAAGTTATCAACCAAAATATAAGTTATAATTATGTATTATAAATCATAATTATGTATTAAGTCATAATTGTAAATATAAGTTACAAATTATATTAAATTATTAAAATTGTTTTAAGTATTTTAGACATTTGTTGATATATATGCATAGTGCTATTTTGAAACTTTAAAATAATTTTGACTTTTCTTGTTAAAAAAATTTTTTAAATTTTTTTAATACACGTTGTAGTCGATAAAAAAATTAATATTCACCTTTCTTTTTGACTATCAATGTTTAAAAAATTGTTCGGACATTATGCTAAACATCCTGTATACAAAATGTCCCGAAATTCGAGAACAATATTATTTCAACTTGTATACTTGTAAAACTTCATAGAAAATTAAGTAACATAAGTGTAAGCCATTTTTCTTTCCGTAATATAGTTTTTTAAGTATAAGCGTTTAATGTTTGACTAATCATAAACGTGATTTAAAAATCATCTGTCTGTGTGATAGTATGCGTACAGCGATTTTGTTTAGTATCTAATATCATTGCACGTACGTCACATGGATAGATAACTTCTTCTAACAACGCGGGAAAAATGTAATAGTATAAGTAGTTACATAAAAGTATTTCTAATCTAATTCAATTTGCATTAGATTAAATACACACATTTATATATTTTTACATACATTAATGACTATCTTACCATTCCCTATAAAAAATAAAAGCATTACAATAATTAAAATACTAAAATTTCTAATTACCAAAATATTCATTAAATTATTTTTGATACATATAAATTGTTTGCATAAAAAAAAGTAAGATATAAAATTTAATCAGAAGTATTCAACAAGGTGTTATGGGTATTCAATTAGACTTATATTTATTTAATCCTTAAAAAGTGACCATCACTTGGTGGAATTCAAGTCATAAGATTTGCTAATATGAATAGCTTTTGCTTTTAATATTTATTAACCTTTAAAGGGCAGGAATCTATTTTTTTAATTTTACAAATTTTCCTTGAGTGAGATTCTTATAATTCAATATTTTTTATTGTATTTCTTGCCTTAAAATATGACACTGTTTTAGCATTAACGGCTTTTCTGTCCTGTAAAGGTTAACAAATGAGCAATTCTTTCAAAGAGGCTTCTACAACTCTTTTTACAGCTATAGTTTTGATCCATAGCTGTTGATAAAAAAATTAATCTATAAATAAATGACATACTTGTACGGAATTAGCATCGCTACAATCGGTATACGAATTATAGCCAGCTGACCAATCACCTATTCCCTGTTCGTTCTCTGCTGTAAAATCAACAATAAAATATTTAGTAAATATAATAAAGTATGAAAATATAATAAACATAAAAATGAAAATTTAACATATTTTTAACATAGAATTTTTTGTACTACAAATTCGATTATCTTGATTTTGCTTAGCATGTTATAATATATTAATAATAATAAAAATTATTATGAATTATTTATTATAAATTTTCTTCTATATACAAGATATATATTTAATAATTGTTCAATCAAATTAATCAATTCAATTATTCCGAAACGATTATCTTAAAAGTGTAAAACAATAAAAGTAAAACAGTAATAGTAAAACAAAAATAACAATAGTAAAAAAAATAACAATAATAGTAAAACAATTGATTTTAAAAAAATTGTATTTATATATATGTGTGTGTGTGTGTGTGTGGTGTGTTTCTATTGTTAAAAAATTGAATAACTAAAAAAGAATATATTATTTAAATTTTTTTAAAGACTGCCCCGTTTTAATTCAAGAATACCATAATTTTTAAATAATTATATTGGAATATCTTGTATGTATATGTAGATTATTTCTCCTTACCTTTTGTGAGTAGATGATAACACGAGACGCAAACACGGGAATCAATATTTCCTTGATATTCTAATCTGTATTTCATATTGCAACATTTGTTACACAGTACCTGTAAAATGTATTGTAAATTTCAATTAATTTATAAAAAATGATATTGCGTAATATATCAATCAATAAATAAAATAACGTTTGTCTTTATTTTTGAAATTCAATAAATACGTACTTTACCGCAAGCACGACAATGATGACGTCTTTTAAGCACAGTAAATTTAACATCGCATAACATACAACTAGGTGCATCACTATCTGGAACCCAAAATGGAGGTTGTTTTCCCAATACTGTATTACATTCAACTAAAGAATTATCAGAAACATCTGACGAAGCACCACGATCTTCATCAACGACATCAATTTCTGAGTGTTCTGGTACCTCTGGTGCAGTACTCGAAGATTCTGTTATAACATTTATTTTTCAACATGAAAATTATATATTTGTATTGTATATTTTAAATAAAAAATGATTCAGGAAATTTTGGCTCAATTTTAGATCAGAATTAGCACAATATAATGAGAGAGAGAGGGGGGGGGGGGGGGAGAGAGAGGAGTGTCCTCTTTTTCAGAAACACCCTATATATACATAATATTAAATTTAACTGTAAAAATATGGGACTATTTATATAACATTAGAAACTAAAAAATAAAATATTAAAGTAACGTACCGAACGTATGAGAATCATTTTTATCATGTGTCAATACAATATCTAATGTCTGGGGACGGATCGGTTTTTCGGATTCTTGATCATTTCCTTTTGTATGAGTATCACTAGTTATAGATATAGTTTCCATCTTGGATATGTTCTCATTGTCATCTATGCTGGTCTCATGTACTACAAAAACATCTTTATTATTCTCCGTAATATCATGTGTACAGTGTATTTTCTTTTCACAATCTTTGTTTTGTAATAAATTTGATGAAGTACCGCTGTTGTAATCTTGTGATAGAATGTCTTTGTTAGTACCTGGTTGTAATTTCTTTACTATATTATTACTACACAACTGTTCTCCAATATTTTCAAATTTCGATGTAGTATTCTCTTGAACAGCGATACATGTAGTTTGTGAGATATTCTCTTGTATTGCTACATCATGACCGATTACTTCAATTACATGTTTATCTTTTGTCGTTTTGTCATTATTTTTTATACATTTTGCTTCATTACTTTTTAAGTCAACTTTTACTGTATTATTACATTTTACATCTATTATATTTTTATTACACATATCCGTATTATAATCAATTACAGGAAATTTTTTCGTCTTCTGAAATTCCTCCTGTGATATTTTCGGAAGTTCGCCTATTACAATTTTCTCGAATATCGGCGCTTCATTGACATCTTCATCATCTGGTTGACAATGACTGGCATTCGTTTCTTTATCTCTTTTCGATTCATACGATTGTGATAACCAGGTATTATCCGAAAGTGATATATTGTCAGTCTCAGATCTTTCTTCTTTCTCTAAGTCTAATAAATATTGATTTAATTCTTCTTCAGAAAAGTCATCACTGATACCAGTTGTACATACATTAGAGAAAGTGTCATTTTTAGTTGTTTCTATATTATTATCTTGATTTTCGCTGCTTGTTATATTTTTCCTTTTAGTCTCCACTATGCTTCCTTTATTTTCAACAAATGTATATTTATCGATGGAATTTCTCCTATCTAAGTCTAACTGCTTTTGTTTGTTAATGATACTATCAGAATTTTCTTTAAACGTATCATTAACTATGACCTTTTTAGTTACATCTTCTTTGTCACTAGACAATTTTGTATCTGTTACATCATTAGGATTCGAGATGGCCGTATTTGGTGCAGAAATTATAGAATTATTTTCTTCAGACTGTATTGGAATCGGGTGATGAAACATAATATTGTGCATTGTATTATCCTGTTTGTTATTTATTTCAATTTTCACAAACTTACTCAATTCCATCGGTAAAATATTTTTATGGTCCAAAATATTCTTGTCGATCGTGTTAATTACTTCTTTCTCCGTTGAAATTGGAGAAAGTTCATTAATAGCCATATCTTTGCTCGATCTAAAATCTTTTTCCACTATATCATCTGTGGATCTTTCAGATAAATCGTCTGCTTTATCTAATATAGGTTCAACATAATTTAAACTTCCAGTAGGAGCATTAATATATTCGTTCAAACTATTAAACACATTGCTGATACTAGGTTTGAAATTTGATTGATTTAATTTTTTGTCGTATCTATCGCCATCTTTCGGATCACTACATGTATTCTGTTGTTCCTGCATTGAGTTTTGTGATGTATTATTATACATCGTTGAAGACACTTCAGAATCAGTATAAGTATGAACACGTGATTTCTGTCCAATTGTGATATCATTGATACGATCATGTGTATAGAAATTATTTACGGGTTCTATATTCTCCGATATAAAAACTATATTCTTTTCAGCTAATGAATATTTGGAGTCAATGTCTATTGGTCGAGTATCTCTATAATTTTCAACAGATGGTACTACATCGATGGTTACGCCTTTTTCAGGATTAAAGTTACATATTTTTGAAACTACAGATTCATTAGTATGCTTCTCCACAGCTGAAGCTTTGATCGTAGAAGTTGCAACTGACGCTATTTGCTCTGCACAATCTGTAAATAATTGTATAAAATTGTGTATTAACTAAAATTTTTATTTAAAACAGTTTATCTGCAATATACACTACACATAACAATTAGGGGATTATTTCAAAACCTGCAAATTTTTCTGATCTTTAAAAGCTGTATTTCAGTTTCCAGATAAAAAAAGTTTTTTAAAAAATGTTTATTTTTTATAAAATTTTTCGGAAATCAAATATTTTTTTGACAGTTCTAGTAGCCTCCTCAAAGAGATCTATTGATCGGATCAAAACGCTAAAATAAAGGATAAAAAAGTTATAACCTTTTAAAGTTTCGGAATTGTGAAGTAGTTTATCCACCCTACCTGATACTTCAAATGGATACTTTTCACTGCTTTAATTGATGGAATTCTTTTTAAAACTGATATCTAGAACTCTTCAGGAGGCAATCAGAACTCTGCTTAGTTTTTTCAAATCTTGAAAAAATGAAACCAGCTTCACAGAAGTCCTTGATTTTTTTAATACTAGTTTTAGGTTTTAAGTTTTTCTATGTGCCAAAGCCTTTATTATAGAAAGTCCATAATATTAAAATTAACCAAGTGGTTACAAATAACTACGTATACTTGCAAATAAAAATTTATGCTTCACTTTGTGTGTATGTACATATATATATATATATGATATCTTAAAGAGAATTCTCCAGGGGTTGGGCACGCATTAAAAGCCCAAGACACAATGCGAGGGAATAGCGATAGTAGTAAAACAGATCACTCTAGATTACTTATTTTATTATAATATTCTAATTTATTTATTTTTTATAAATTTTTTTATTAATTTTTCTTTAATTTCAAAATTGTTAAGCTTAAAATATTTATATTATTGCATAGATATTGCTACCCATACTGGAATTAAAAACACTATTGTTGTTATGAATAGACATCGGATTCTTATTGAATTTCATATTTTTTTAAAAAGTAAATTGGAAAGCAACATCAAAATAGAAGTTAGTCTTATTGTAAAAGCATTCTAAAAGTACATATTTATTTGTATATATTGTGCATATGTAATATTTGTGCATGTTTACAAAAAATATTTGGATAAATAATTTTGTTTTGTTATAAAATTAAATAGAACACTATATATAATATTGTATCTTAACATAATATTATATCTCAAAGCATAAACACAATCTCAATTTCAGTTAATTTTGACTTGTACTGGTCTCTGTCCTTAAAGACAAGGAGAAATGGTTGAACTCAGTGCAACTTTTTTGCATCAGTTTTGTCAATGAAACATAAGAGCATCTTTCACCAATTTCTGATTAAATTAATCGACAATTAATTCACAGAAGTGCCAATAGCAATTTAATTAAATCTCTTCTCTCTTCCTCTTTTGAGATAACCAATGTTTATTAGTTCTCATGTTGGCAATGGTGATGATTGAGTTAACCATCAATTAATCGGAGTTGGTAAAAGAGGCCCTAAACACTGAAAATACGTGAACTGGTTTTAAGTTTTAACAGTGAAATAATACAATTGTACTCACAAGGGATCAGTTGAAATTGTCTCTCACCGATTTCGATGAGCTTTGAATATGTTGTAGAGCATCAAAAATGGATTTTTTCGTTTTCAGCGAATATCTTCGAAATTATGCCGCGTATGAAAAAATATTTTATACAAGTTTTACAGTATTTTATGCTGTATATAATAGCGTGTTTATTTTTTTAAATGGAGGTGGGGGTTAATTAAAAAATTTGATTTAAAAAAACTGAATACACTATTATATACAGCATAAAATATTGTAAAATTTTTGTATAAAATATTTTTTCATACACAGCATAGTTTTGAAGATATTCACTAAAAACGAAAAAATCCATTTCTTTTAAGGTGTTTCACTCCCTAAATCTCGAGATAAACCGCTATAAGAAATATAGGTCGAATATTTTTTGATGCTCTACAACATATCCAAAGTGCATCGAAATCAATGAAGGACAGTTCCGACCATTCTTTTGTTAGTGTATATCAGTGTTGTACTAGTTCTCCCACAATGGAAAATGCAATTTTATTTTTTAATTTATTTGTCAAAAACATCTTTAGTTTCATAATTTACTTTTGCAATCAGAAAATCACCATATTAAATCTGTCACTTAAATTTTAAATTTTTTATGTCAAATTTGAATTTAATACAAACCCAAAAATCTTTTATAATAAATCTTTAAAATATTCATCAACTTTTAAATATTGGTCATTGTAGAAAACTATTATGATAACTAAATTACTATTATATTTTGAGAACAAGAAAAATAAAATAAATTATAATAAATCTTACATAAAAGGAAAAGCTACACGACTTTAAAAATAGACCCCCTTAACTTTCAAAGATTAAACTTCAAGTTTCTAATATATATTTTTCATTTGAAAAAAAGAGGAAGTGTATTTTTTATTGAAATACACAAATTCCTATTAAAAATTTATTTCAAATATACTTTCTTATTTAAACCTAAACAAATATAGAAAATATAATATATTTATGATAAAGCTCAATAAGTATTAAACAACTAATATAATGAAATAAGGGCAATGAGCCAATTTTCGTTAAAATCTTTAAATCAATCTATTGCGAAGAATATCACGTAATTTTCATGATATTCTTCGCAATATATTAGTTGATTTGAAAATATATTTTTTAAAATATAAACTTAAAAAACTTTAAATATATAAAGGTTTTTCCTAAAACTTATTTAAATTAATTTTCATCAAAAATGTATACCTTCGTTGAACTCAAAGTCATTGAGGACTTTGTCTAAGTCGATCATAAATTTCTCCATGATATCACAATGTGTTTCCAATCGCTTTTTCACTAAATAAATTGAGCAGTTCTATCCAACTTTCATTAATCGTATATATAATTCCATTAACATTAATTGATATCAATAACCTCCATAATCGAAATACAATTTTCAATAATCAGTATAATGTAATATGTACGATTCACGTTTTAACAATTAACGCATGTTCCTGGAATCTGCTTTAACTTGTTTCTTAACAAGAAAACAGATTATACTAATACTCTGCATCAAATGTAATATATGCGTGACTCAAACTCGTTCCGTTCAACAATCGTCGAACTCCATTCTTGAGACATGACACTGTCTTGAAAAAAATTGAGCACGTCGCGATATCGAAATAAATCGGAAACACTTTGACTTCGTTTTTAAAATGACTTACGAAACGATATAACAATTGTATCGTCTTACGTATGTATATACGCATGTGGCATATACTACATATATTCTGACTATCATATGACGAAACTAGGGCTGCGACCTGTGTTCTCCGTTGACTGTGTTCAGAAACGTTTAGGCTGCGCAGTGCTTTTTATTAAGCGTCGTCTACAATACACGTTAAGGTGAATTCACATACAAGCGTCAAGCAGCAACCAATCAGCGAGGCGATATGGCTAAACAGCCTATAAGCTTTCTAGCCATTGTACCAGAATGTTCGTCAGAAACTCTAGGGGGCCTCTTTTAGGACCTCTTTCACCAGCGCCGATTAACTTAATCGACGATTAGTCCATTGGAATTGACCAATTGCGTTTGTCGTCAAAACTAAATGATAAATGCGATTGGTCAATTCCAATGGATTGCTTTTTTTCTTTTACGCAAAAGCATGGCTCTCATTGGCTATCGCTCGCCGCTTCACCGCTGCGCCGCTCTGGTCTGTAGGCTCCTTAAGGTCGGAATCAGATTACGCATTGAAAATTAAGATTAAAGATAGAAAGATAGATCGATATTCATAGTCAGTCTTATATTCAAGACCGTCTTAAGTTCAGTCTTGAGGAGTTACGAACCAATCAGAGGGCCGCTTTAGCATCTGACACTCTTGAAATAAGAACCGACTATGAATACCGGCCTTAATTTTGGCTAATCTCAAATTAATAAGAGTTAAAATTTCTTTATCCTCATTGGTCAAATTTCAATTTTCAATCTTCAATCTCAATTTTCAATGCGTAGTCTGATTCCGGCCTAACAGATAGTCTTGTAATTTTTAAAAGTATAAACGACAAGACTGTTATATATTACATAAAATAAATATTTTTTTCTGCATAAATAAATTACTTTATTTATTCTCTACCTATTTATTTTTTGTTAAAAATTTTGAAGCATTAATTTTATTATTTGTATTTAAATTTAATTGTTATTAAAGTTTTTTAATTTTGTAATATTTTTTATAAATTTTATATATTTTTAATATATTAATTTTTATATTTTTAATATATTTATTATATAATAATATTAATTTGTTACTTTTCATTTTATGAAAGACATTTACAACGTATTTTATTATTATTTTACATTTACAACGTTTTTTTTTACATAAAAGTTGTTATAAAAAATATTTAATAATGTTAACATAAGTTAAATAATAATAAAAATAAAAATTATAATTGATTCTACTTTAATTTTTACGAAATTATTAATTTTTACAAATTTGGATTTAAAGAAATTTGCAAGAATGGATGATAAATGTCGGACCAATTAAAAACCGGAGAGAAAGTACCAGACTCTTATTAGAGGATCTCTCTCGTACTCAATCATAAAACGGTTGCAAAACTATTGAGTTCTGAACGCAGCCATAAGTATTATATATATACATACAGGAACCTCCGCTCTGTCTAATCTTTAGTTTCAGATTTAAGTGTGTTGTGATATTTGGTAGAATTGAATTTGTGTTCTTCGTAGTTAATCTAAAATTTGACATCAATATACACAACAATATTAATAATATTATTGAGCAGCGCATAGAAATATGCAAAACATAAAGACAGTTTATCAAAAAATGTTAAGAAAATTTCCTATGGGCACACAAGCAGTACAGGCTGGTAATTAACAGTTTATTATAGATAATTAACAGTTTATTATACATGATACGCAAAATAAAATGCGCGCACGTACACGCATACACATTTATATTTACTATATTTTAGATAAAAGTTCATTTCAGTTTGTTTTAGGTTTATCTTGTGTTTTGATGAAATTATATTTATATTATAGCTGAGTTTCATTTAATGCTCGCAACGCTCGCAAACATTGTTTGTCCTTGTTTAACATTTAATAAACAAGAATAAAATGATTTTACGAGTGTTGTAAGCGTTAAATGGAACGCAACCTAAATATGTCTTTTATGTAAAAACAAAAGATTGAGAAACAAAAATTGCCACTAGTGTTATTCTAAAAGACTACTAAATTAGTAATTGTTAAAAGTGACATATTTAAGGTTAAGATATAATTCATAATCATAAAATAATCGTGATGAAATAAAATAATACAAGCATGCGCTAAGCTTGGATCATAATAGAAATAACGTACGAAATATATATAAAATGTGTTTATCTGCATTCAAATAAGTTATTAAAAATGTAATAGAATATGAATTGCACTGCAAATTTGATATACTTAATCGATGCGTTTTTATTTGAAAGCACAGAACTTGTAAAAAATTTTGGCGATCTTGCTTTGTGAATCGATGTTATAACTTCGGCGTAAAGCGTGCCGTGTATGATAAACGTAGTGAATAACTGACTGTTTTCGCGAGAAAATAGAATTTCCACTATGTCGCGTATAGCCATATTTTAGCCAGCCGAAGTGATCCGAAGACCTGTTCTTTTTCTCTGCACTGTGCCCACAGTGCAATAAGTTTAAAGGCATAAAGAGCAGTCCATTATCTATGTCTTTGAATAAGTTGAAGTGAAACATATATACGTTTGTTTCACTTCAATTTATTGCACTGTCTGAACTGGTGCACACAGTGTAGGCAAAAAGAACAAGCCTCGAGTGTAACCGAGATTGCACGGATGTGACGTAAGCTGGCTGCTGCTCAACAAAAGCTTTCTAAATTCGTCCACCGGATAAGCATACCCTTGTATTTATACAATGATATTGAGTCTGTTTTTTGTTCCTGCACTGTCTGAACTAGTACACACGGTGTAATAAATTGAAATGAAACAAATATACATTTGTTTCATTTTACTTGATCTATGTATCAAGTGCTCGGTGTAAACTAATAGCGTTTTCTCTTGGCTGCACCAGTGCAACACTCAGCTGAACTTTTGCACTAGTTTATCTTTCTTCCTTTTCTCTCCAGGAGAAGGGAAAAGGAAAAAAGATGAACTGGTGCAACCACCCTACACTGGTGCAGCCAAGAGAAAACGCTATAAGGCTAGGTCCACAATCTCGCTTTAAGAAACCCTAAGCCGTAAGTAGTAAGCGAATTGACTAATCACAGTAGAGGCTATAACTTAAGTAGTAGCAAATCCACAACGTAAGGGCTGAGCACAAGCACTGCCGTAATATTTTACGACAATTTAAGTTGTAGACGTAAATAACGCACAAGCTTTGGCATATCGGCGTATGACGTGTTTATGTACATTATTGACATATCTTTCGATAGCGTGCGTAAACACGTCATACGCCGATACGTCAAAGCTTGTGCGTTATTTACGTCTACAACTTAAATTGTCGTAAAATGTTACGGCAGTACTTGTGCTCAGCCCTTAATTTCCTTACTGCTTACTGTCTTAAGTTTTTTGTGTGCCATAGCTTTAAGCCACTAATGCGAATTAGGGGGGTCCTACACATACCTTTCTGTAAGAGAGTAAGAAGTACTGTAAGAATTAGCCAATCAGAATTAAGAGTTCAAAAGAATTCTCGATTGTGAGCTAATTCTTACGATACGTCTTATGGTTATTGTTATGGAAGGTGTATGTGGGTTCCCTAAAGCTTTGGCACATAAAAAAACTTAAGACTTAAGCAGTAAGGAATTTAGGAATCCAACACGAATTTTCTGCGATTTACACGTTATGGTCTTACGATCTCTACTATGATGATCAGGCTGGGTCCACAATCTCGCTTTAAGAGGCCATAAGCCGTAAGAAATTGACCAATCACAGAAAATTATTTTTCTCGCATTCAACTATGATTGGTCAATTTCTTACGGCTTTACGGCTTACGGCCTCTTAAAGCAAGGTTGTGGACCCAGCCTCAATTCGCTTACTGCTTAAGTCTTACGTTTTAAATTTTTCTATGTGCCAAGGCCTTTAATTATAATTGCTGCTTTTCTGTTTCTGCTTTTCTATCTAAATGTGAACAAGTCCCTACATCTCTAGCTTTACTCTTTCCTCGCTCAAATTAAATCTCACATTCCATCCATATATTCATATCACGACTATAGCATAATATACATATAATATATGTATAAATATTATGTAAATTAATATGTTTATTTTTATAACAAATATAAATCTTTATAATTATACTAACAATAATTGAATATATTTTAGGAATATTAATGGGACTTGGTGATCAAATCGCACAGAATTTCATAGATAATTCGAAAACTATTGATTTTAAACGTACAATACAATTTGCGGGGATTGGTTTGTTCATTAGTGTAAGTAATTACAAATATTAGATATAGGCTCTGGATGTTCAAGCACGTTCACGGAGCGTGTGCATGGAGAATGAATCGATTACTCTTTTCACATTCGACTGATTTGATTACATACTATAGATATATACATTATGAACATGTTAGGAGCTATAAACTTATTGGCTATCGCGTCATATTTTACCGCGCGGTAAGCGTTTCCGCATCCAGCGTACAGAAAATATAAGGCTATGTTTCAAAATTGACTGCCAGACTGAAAATCTATATAGTTTACGTCACGAACACTATAGGTTTTCAGTACTGGCAGTCAATTTTGGAACAGTCAGTTTTGAGCAGTCAATAGGAAAACGGTGGAAGCAAAATTGTAAACCTAATATATCTATTATATTCGTGAGGTAATGCATAACACATAAGAATCAACCAATCAAAGTTTCTCTTCCGTGAAATAGAAAAAAAGAAAGCATTCTGATTGGTTGATTCTCTTATACACTATGCGTTATACCTAAAAATCTGTGCTAGCGATTGAATAGGTCATGCTCCAGCTAAATGTTGCTATATCACTTCAGCAAGTATTTGATTCATTCACGCGCGGAGCAGTTCTTAACATGATTATGCTCGAACGTCCAAACCCTAGTTATATATTATTTAATTGATACTTAAATATAGATCTGATATGTTGCTGTTTAGTCTTTCATATTATTTTGAAATAATTTAAAATATTTATAATTTAAGTAATATAAAATTTTACATAAGATGTAGCAACAAATATAAGTGTAATATGAACAGTAATAATATTAATAACTTATATATAGGGTCCAACGACAACAAAGTGGTACATGGTTTTAGATAAATACTTAGGTTCTAAAGGTTATTCTGTTGCAATTAAGAAAGTTGCTTGTGACCAATTGTTCTTCGCACCTACATTTATAGCAGTTTTACTAATCACTATTGGCATTTGCCAAGGGAAAGACATCAAAAAACTAAAAATTAAATTGGCCAATGAATATAGTGATATTTTAATAAATAATTACAAGGTAACAAATAGTATGTCAATATTCTTTTAATGATCGAATATTATTTGTTTGTTTTTTTTTCAGCTGTGGCCTATGGTACAACTTGTGAACTTTTCTCTGGTACCTTTACATTATCAAACACTAGTTGTACAGTCAGTTGCTTTATTGTGGAATAGCTATATTTCATATAGATCAAATTTTGATAAACAGGACGAATTTATATGAATACAACTGAGAGATAAATTAAAAATTATAATTATATTTATAAATATAAGGAATTATTATTTCATTTTATATTAGTAGCATGTATTATAGGAATTCGAAAGCATTTACTTCCTATATAATATTATTAAATTATGCAAAAATGAGAAATCATAATTTTTTCTTTAGTACATTAAAATAAATTCATACTTCTCCTAATTATCTTTCTTATACCTGATAAATAAAATATTCTAAAAACCTTTTCATATATTTTTTCTACTGAAAAAATCATGTAAGATGTCTTAATTTGTGGACTTGTTATGTCTATTTGTATAGCAAACATCGCGTCTGAGGTAGAGCTCCACTCCCCTCAGCCTATCAAATTAATAATTTCTAATTAACAACAAATAATGAGAAATTAATTGTTATATTGTAATTAAAAAAAATTTTTTTTTTCAAGTAATTTTTATTTGTGGCACATAATACGACCTACCTTGCGTAGGGGTCATCTATCTAATCTTTTCCGAATCTACTTTTTTTAGTATATTTTAGACTCAGTCATTTAGTAAAGATTTAATATGTAAAATGCATACGCATGTGGCCACAGAGCATACATACGTGATCCCAGTAATAGTTTTACCACAAAATATTTGTTAATATTTAAGTGTAGATTTATTTTGTAAATATTTTTGTGGTTTTAGATTACACAGATCAAGGATATACTTCAATACCTTGAAATCTCTAATATAAAGATAAAATATTGCAAGAGTACAGTTACGTTTATAGTCATTTAATGATACGCTTTTAAGAATACTCTCTATAATAATACATACGTGTACAAATAAAAATTCCACAAGAAGAAAGCAATCTAATCTAGATCATCTGTGTATTTATTCTGTCGCTCAATATCTACTTGTATTTAACGTATACACACTTTATCCTTCAATATAGATACTTTATAGCGTAACTCACATTTCTAGAGGATCTACAAAAATTATTTTTGAAACTATTATAACAAATATTAAAACACATTTGTGTCTGGTGCGGCAAAATTAATCAAAATTACTAGACGACAATCTGAAAACTGACAAAAACGCTACAATCAGCGCTGGCACCGTTATTTCTTACTGGCTCGTTCTGCTGTTTGGGCTTATTTGAATATCCTCTTGGACAACTTAGGCTGTACTTCTCTTATCTGTATGTCTTTGCCACGTGGAGCTATCATATATACGTCACTTACTATTCAATGTACATCACTCCATGGCGGAATAATGAAATAAAGTTCAAAAATTTCAATAGCTGGATCACTCTTTCAACGATTTTTGTTAGCTTCTATTATTTTAAGGTAAAAATTTTTAAATATTCTCCCTCAGTATCTAATATTATTTTATCTTTTAATACTTAACTTTTGTTTAATTGTATATCTAATTGTGAGAGCATTAAAGGAGTTTTGATAGACACTTACAAATTTATTATTATAGACAAATATAAATTAATAAAAATTTTTGAAGAAATTAATTTTAATGGTTTATATTATTATTTATTGTAGACAAGATATGTTTGGTAAAATTTGTATTTAAATTACTTTCCTAAATTAGCTTTTAAAATAACTTATTTTAATCTTATGTTTAAAATTCTTTACAAACAGAACTGATTAGTGTTCCAATAAACTATTTGACTATATAGTAACTGATGATATTTCATCAATTACTGATGCAGTGTCATCAGTTATTCATAGAGCTAATCAGTTTATTGGGATACAAATCATTTCTTATCATATAGGATACTAATCAGATTTCAATAACTTTATCTATATCATACTAATCTATACACATTGCAATACCGATTTTTATTCTAACATAATTATAATTTTTTTATGACAAATAATTGATTAATATGATTTTTTATAGGAATTAAAGATGTGTTTGCATGGGGTATGTTAAGTTAGCACCCCAACTATAGCACTCAGGAGTTCTGATTAGAGTTCCCACTTCCTTTTGACGAGACGAAGAGTTCCCTATAGTTAATAACAAGAGTTCCGCTCAATAAACATTTTTTTTACATTTTTTAAAAATGGGGTGCTAACTTTTTATCGAATTTCGAGGTGGAATAGTTCTGAGCGGCTTAATAGCTTCAATTTGCGATTGCCTAGAGTTCCTGATATATAAAAAAAATTTTCGTATAATAAAAAAACAATTGAAAATTTTTGAAAAATTAATTTTTAGATACAATAGTACTGATGATAATTCCTGCTTCTTTTTGACGATACGGAGAGTTCTCTATGATTTTTAATGACATATGCGCTTAATAATCATTTTTTAATAACTTTTAAAAATGGGGTGCTAACTTTTTAACGAAATTCAAGCATAGTTCTGATCAGCTTAACAGAAGTATTCACAAAATACCTAGAGTTCTTGATACATAAAAAACATTTTTGAAGAATAATAAAGTTTAAAAAAAATAGTAGAAATCTTCGAAAATTTTTTTGAGAGTACCGAGTAGTTCTGAGTTGCATTTCTTATAGTACTCGACGAGTTCTATCGAAAACTGTAAGGTGGAAAAGCGATTGGACCAACGGTTTGCAAGATACAGCGACATTTGTCAGAAGATCAACAATTTTTAAAGTGAGTATATCTCGGAAACCGTTGGTCCAATCGCTTTGAGCTTGTTCTTTTTATTTATTATTTATAATTTTACAGTTTAAATTTTCCTTTGGACCTTTTATTACTACAATGATGTTATCAACGTTTCATATTATATTGACTTACTGACTTATGGATAGAGAATTAATAATTTAGGTAACTCTGTTTCACTACAGCATGTATGTATATCATGCGTCGAAGAGGATAATCGAACAGGATTGAAACATCTATTGCATGATATGATTATGTAAATTTCAGTCTTTGGAATTAAACACAATAATTTATGTACAAATAAATGCGTTAGCTCATATAGACTTAATTATTAGAAAACAGTTATTTTTATAATAAAGATAACTGTGGATGATCATATTGTGCATGCTTTAAATACAGAAATTCACTTGAATTTTTGCAAGTAATGCTCGTATTCAGAATTTTGCTAGATTATTTAGATGAAGCTTCTAAATCGTTCGATTCAATATTTCTTATTCCGACTTTCGAACGATCTTGTCGCTGAAATGCGTACTTGCATATTTTCACAATCGAAAGTACACGGAGAAAAAAATGTAACAGCGCTCTTGGCTTGCGTTTTATTAGCCATCTGTTTCTATGTTAATCTTAGAGGGGCAATAAGAAGTATATTTTCCACTTTTTTCTTCATTTTTAAAATACACTTCACAATTTAATGAAACCAATTATGATTTTGCATTTTACTAATACATTTATTTTACATATTTTTCATAATCGGCGATCAATCACCGATTTAGATTTGCGAGTGACTAAATTTCGTGTATGTGCTCTCTCAGTTCGAGAAAGAGTAGTAAATGAAAAGCACAGACTAATCCGCGAGAGATAAATTCGAATGAAAATCGAACATTCTACTAAATTAACGTTTCCTCGATTCTATGAACCAGCGAATCAAATAAATATTTTTCGATCTGCGACGAGAGATCGAAGACTCTTGAAGGTTACAATCCATATAAATAATTCTTCATCATAAATCTGACTAATTTGATAAAATAAACTTCTAAAATTATGTGAATAATTAAAACTACATTTTTATAAAATTTTAATAGCGTATATCGCATATTTTTGTTAATTAATGCTTCTATGTAATATATTGAATAATATAACGTGTATCACATTTTGTAATACGCTTTACTTTATCAAAGATCTAAGAGAAGAGAAATCATTTGTGAGGAAAAATTAAAAGTAACTCGCATATTAACTGCTATCGACAATGTAAAATTAGTAAATAAATAGATGAATCTTAAAGTAACGTATTATTCAAAATTAATTATGTTAATAAATCATGAAACTTTTAATAGTTTTAACTACATACATACATTGTGTTATTAATATATTTATACAATTAAACTTATTATTTAATTAGTAAATTTTTCAATATACAATAGTTTTGAATGATACAAACGAATTAAACACAAATACAATATATGGAATGTGGGTTTGTTAATTTATCGTTACGTAACAACATTTTATATAACAATACTAACATTTTGTTCTATACATATACTCAATACTGTTTCCATTCTAACTTGTTAGAAATTACAAAAATTATAAATATTTTTTTTATAATTATATACATTTCTATTTAGTCAATAAAATTAATGTATAACAAAGAGAATATAAAATTGCAAATATAAAATTATGAAACTTTATATTTTACGCTATTCTCATTTCTTCCTATTATTTAAAAATATTAACGTAGAAATGTATTTATGTAAATATACAAGTTAACGTCATTAAATATGTGTAACAATATTACAAAAGTATAAATTTAATGATTTACCTGAAATGTTTCGACATAGTTATCGTTAACACTTTTCTGCTTTAGCAACAGCAGCAGGTATAGTATCAGTAGTTTTAGATGATACACACTGTCCGAGTAATTCTGGACACGATATATCATTGGAAACAATGCTATGGATTTTTCTTAGTAAATCATAATTGATGCGCTGCGTTATTACAGCATCGTGCCTATTTATACATATATTTTATTAAAGTTATATCGTATTTAGAAAACAATATTGATAGTTCAAAGAAAAAAGAATATTTATTTACTTGTATTCAGGATGCGAAGTGACTTCTTTTCTCAGCCAAGCAGCAGTTGTTAAAAGCTCACCAGAAGCGCGTTTCTGTATTAATTTTAAATATCTTTGAATAGTACAATGTGTATCAGCGTCTACATTCATATTAGCCAAATACGAATTCACAAGTGGCACAAGACCAGGAAAAATGCCATTCTGGAAAATACAAAACGATAATGAAATTTATTATTTATAAAGTAAATGTATTCTTATAGAACATTTATTCTTAAATTCTTATAGAAAATAGAAAAACTATATACGTATAAATATATAAATT